AAATAGCTTTGAATTGAAGTGTGGCTCCAACACGACCAGTGTCAATAATAGCTTGGGGAAATCAAACCTTCAATCCTACCCCTGAGCTTGATAGTCATCATCTCTTAATAGGTGACATTTTCAAAAACCAATCATAAAACTTGTAGTGATTAGAGTTAACCTAACTTCTGTTGCAATAAAAAAATATGAATTTATAATAAATAAGCATCCATATTATTTAGATGTGTATATATATTTCATCCAAAGATAGAGAGAGAGAAGTGATCCCTGATTGAGTCGCCAGAAATCTGTTCACTCAGAAAAAGATGGCGTCACGGCACGGACCCTACTTTCGCAAGCTCAAGGTCCCATTTTTCCTAGAGATGGATTAGATTGGATTTTAAATTAACAAGATTTCACCTGATGATCAGCATCATAGTTTATTTAATTCTAAGATTCCACTTCCTATGAGCACAAGCCCTTATAGTTAATTACCCCTCCTAACACATAGAAAAGAACTCTCGATTAAGAATGAATCAATTTTTAAATGTGCAACAGTTTTAAATTTTGGTTGTGGTGGACGGAGATAAATATGATCAAGATTCATGGTTCTGATCTCCCAGATATTACATACGTTTCAATCTACCAACACTAACAATCATTAATTGTAGTATCAAGGGAATCTGATTAGTAGCCATGGTTGCCTCCTCATAGGGATCAAGAGTAAACTAAAGTGGATAGAAATAGGTGATTTGGATTGGGTTAGAACTTGCGGCTCCACCTAGGAGTTGCCCGTAGTTTAGATTAAGATTGGGTCTTGCAGCTCCGTTTAGGAGTTGCCCATATTTTTGGATTTAGATTAAGTCTTGTAGCTCATTTAAGAGTTACCCGTATATTTGGATTTCGGTTGGAACTTACGGATTTCATTGAAAGTAGCCCGTATAGAGGATCTTACGGCTTCCCTTGAAAGTAACCCGTACAACGGGACGGGTCTTACTACTTCATTTAGAAGTAGCCCGAATAGTGAGTCTTATGGCTTCACTTAGAAGTGGCCCGTATAACAAGTATTATGGCCTCTATTAGAGGTGGTCTGGGTTATCAGAGATGAGTTATTTGTTTTGAGAAAGTTTTCTCTAGCACCCTAATTAAAGTGGGACTTACGGCCTCCATTAGAGGTGGCCCAGGTTATCAAGGATTTAGGGTTAGATTTTTTTTACCTAGAGATTTTCCCTAAAATCGGACTTACGATTTATACTAGAAGTTGTCGATGAACTTTAGGTGTTTACTGCTTCACTTAGTAGATTTACTTAGAGAAATAGTTACCAATAGGATTTATTATATCTGTTAGAAGTGACCTACAGGGCTTAGATTAGTGACGATGTAGTTTTATGCACTTTACTACCTCGACACCAGCATTACCATCTTATTTTACCTATAATCCAGCTTTACTTTTAGTACTAGCACTTTTTACTAATTTTGCTTCAGTACCATCCTTGCTTATAGTCTATCATGCACCGACACTTCTCCTGAAAGAGACGTACAACGTCCGACACGACAAGCGCCAGACACGTGTTGGAGACATTGAAAATTTGTCCGATTAAAAAATATTAAATACAAATTGGACACACGTGTCCGGCACGTGTGTTTTAAATATTTTATGAAAAAAAAAATTTAAATATAATCTTGTATTTAATTTTTTTAAAATATAATATTGTATTTAAATTTTTTTTATTTAAATCATAAAAATTAAATTTCTTATTTCTTTTTCATAACACCAAATCAATAGCTCGTACTCAATTCCCCATTCATCGAGTATTCGCATTTCATTTGTCCTTGACAGCTCGTGACTTCGATTTCACACAATGCCCAACGTCATCTCAACATCGACGTTTGATGTCGTTATGAAATAAACATTTCAAAACCATCTCAACATCAAAGTCTAACACTATCTTGACAATTGATGCTCGGCATTAACAATTTCTAAATCCACAACTTGATAGCTCATCCTCGTCTGATGTCGTCTTAATATCGATGACCAACGTCTGCTCAACATTAATAATAGACGCCCTCTCGACATTGATGAAAGAATGCACAATACATCTTCACAACATCGATTCTTGACTTTTGATAGCATTGTCATCTCCTCGCTCGATGTCTAATATACAACATCAACGCCCAACCCTCAACATTCTAACCTTAATCATTTTAAGCAAAAATTCTAGTTAAATGATTTATTATTTCTAAATTATTTTTTAATATTATACTTATTCAATTTCTATACACTATTTTAAAATATAAAAAAATTGTATACCGTGTCCAACTCGTGTTTATGTCCTATATTTTCAATAATTAACGTCTGTGTCATGTCGATGTGTCCGTATCTATGCATTATGGCCAACAGTAGTACCTTTGTTTCTTTCCTGTTATAGTTTTGTTCTTACTGGTTTTGTTCTTTCCAGTATTAGTTTTGTTTTACCAGTACAAGTTTAGTTTTACCAGTACCACGCTGACATTTTGCTTGTTTACTTACATGTATGTTGTACTTGCAGCAATTTGGAGAACGTTGAGAGCTCAAACGTAGCTGCAATCGAATCTACTATTGAGAGTCTGAGAGTTTTTTGAGAGCTTGTTTGGAGAGCTGCTTGTTAGAGAGCTATTTGTGTTTGAGAATTGTGGTATTTAGTTTGCGAGATTGTTTAGCTTGAACTTAGGTTGGATAGTGGAAAATAAGATTTTTTTTGTTCTTTTGTTCATTTTAATTCAGTTGTTTTAATTAATTAAATGAATTGCTCGACCCATTAATTGATTTTAAATATATTTTGAAATTATTTAATTATTTAGATTAAATTGATTGGTCAATTGATTTAATTAATTTAAAGGTTCAAATTGATTAATTAAATGGTTTATTAATTAAAATATTTTAATTTTATATTAATTAGTTTAATTAAGGTTAAAGTTTTAATTAAATTTTAAATTAAATAAAGCTAAGATTTAAATTAATTGTTTTAATTATATTTTAATTTAATCAATTATTTAATTACTTGAATTTTAGTTTTAAATAGAATTTGAATTTTAATTAGATGAATTTTAAATTTTATTTTAAAATTAGTTAATTAGTTTAATTTAAATTAAATTTAGGAATTTAAATTTAAATTAAATAGATTAATTAGTTAAAATTAAATGTTAATTAAAGCTCTCGGACAATCTCGTGACATTATTTCGACAGCCTCCTAGCATTCCGTCCCCGCGAAGGGAGGTCGAGAGAGCGCTTGCCCTTTATAGTCCACCCAACTGGATAGGATTCAATGGCCGAGAGCTTCCGGGGATTAAAATCGATTATGAAATTGGTCTTTGATGCTCCAAGTTGACACTCGTGGTATTTAGGAGCTTTCCCGAATTTTCGGCATTTTTTAGACACCCCCTCCCCGCAAGGGGAGGTTGGGTAAGGCACTTACCCTTTTGATCCGCTCAGCCGGATCGAATGGACAGTTGAGGGAAATATCAACCCCGGAAATACATCTTCGGATCCTCCAGTTGAATGATTTTGGCATTTGCTTTTCTTAATAATAATAATAATAATGACAATTATTATTATTATCATTATTATTATTATAGTAATTATTATTATTATTATTTTATTATTAGATATTTCCTCCCTCACAATTTCAAGAAAACAAAGATGGGTGAACGTGTGACCGAACACAGGCAGAGGAGGCAGATGTGAGAGCGGAGCGTGGTCTGATTTGTTCGCACATGAAATCGGTGCCAAAGGTACGATCGAGTTCAGGTTAGACGAATCGGATCGAAAGGTCATTCACACAAGGAAGCAGGAGGTGTGCGGGCTTCGAGCATCTACAAGAAGCATGCGACAAAAGCTGGAGGCCGGCTCGGGGGTTCAATTGCGGGAGACGAAGCCGGATCGTTGGCTTCTTCTATTGATGCGGACGACTTGCGCAACAGGGATAGTCAGGTCTAGCTTTGGCTACTGCTTGCAGGGGTCTGTCGAACATGAGAGGGAGAGCTAAGAGTGTTCAAATGCTTGGGGCCTTCAAATCATGCCGCATGAGGGAGTTGTGCTATGAGGAGCGAATGTGGGGAGTTATGTGGAGATCATGGGGTTGCGAGAACCGATGACGTGGAGTTGTGGGCAGTGGGAGCTAGTCCAATCATAGGTTCACAGGTCAACATGTTGCTTTGATCATTAAAAATGGCCATGTAGAGCAACACAGCAAACATTATTGTGTTGTTTGCATGTAATGACTATTGCTATGTTGTTTACATGTATGACTCCAACTCAATTATACAGCAAATAAAATATTTTTTTTAGGTTCCAAGCCCACTTCTCCTCCCAGAATTCTCCGTGTGCCACTCTCACTCCTATGTATTTTAAATTTTGTGCTTTACAACATCCTTCAATAATATTGTTGGGAAACATTGTTTTTAAACTTTACAAAACCACCTGAAATCTAAATTTATTTTTAGAATACATGTTACTAACATTCTACTTTTAGTTATTAACAAAATATGTGTTAGCATGATATTTTGTTTATGTACACGTGCAAGCAATCATGTACTCCGGTTATATTGTTTCCTACGGTTTTCAAAATTGTTCATGTTTTCATACATATCATGGTGTGCCCTTGCCACCTACCGTAGGTCATTATTGGTGCTTCAATGATCTTTGTTGGATTAGGGTATAAACTTTGTAATCATTTGATGGAAGAAAACAAGCATACAAAATGAAATTGCTGAAATAAATAGTAATAACATGTAAGTTGCACATAATTTTATCTTCCCAGTAATTACAAAAAACTACACAACATTCTTTCGAGTAAACCAAATAATTCAAATGAATAAGAAATTATATTCTTTATTAGCAAGACAATTATATGTCTGGATGTTCAAGAAACTATAAGCACTGCAACAAGCTCCAAAAATACATAAATAGTCATGTGATCTACAAAATTGCCCACAGGACAAGCAAAATATGAGAAATAAGATATATTAATAAACTCTTATACCATCAGGCAAGAAAGAGATGTGCCGAGCCAAATGCTGAATGGACCCTGACTCAATAATTTGTGTTATTGCATTCTTAGAAGCTGAAGCAACCAACAGCAAGAACTCGTAGCATTCCTCAAAAATAGAAGGATCTGACCTGCGTGCATAGCAATTCAAGTGGTTCTTAAATGCATTCATGAAAGAAACTGTGGAAAAAAAAAGGGCAGTATCAGAAATGATAAAAATATGGTGACTCCAGAAGATTCATGATGGCTGTCAGAAGCATCCTACCATAAAGACAAAGCAGGCAGATTTGATAAACCGTCAATACATACTTTCATACTAATTTTACTTATCACATAATATAGAAAAACAAGCATATCTTTGGAACTAATTGGATCAACTTTGTATAGTCAAGAGAATAAATTGGGACGCATTTTATATCACAATTACAATATGAGAAATATTTTTTATCAATTTTGTATAGTCGAAAAATTAAATTGGAGCAATGTGATATTATGAGACAAAACTGACCACACATTAATAATCAAGAGCTATTTTGAAGTTTTTCAAAAGAGAAAAAAAAAGAGAGAGAGAGAAATAAAGGGGGAGAGAGATGAACTTTAGCCATCCTAAGAGGAAAACAACCATTTTCATCCACATATTTTTACAACTAACACTGCTACCACTTTATATGGACCTAGACTTCAAGATTACACTTTTTATCATGACATGCAACATGAAAATAGCTTGGAATGAGTTTCATCAATTGTCATAATAATTTATTAATCAACTGAGCGTGTTAAAAGAACAAGGATGGAATATCATATTGAAAAGTCTGGTTAAAACTCTAATTTATCCCATGAGTTTTACCAATGAAAACCATGAAATAAACTTTACAAATCATCAACTCATTTAATTTAAGCAACTTATAAGCCTTGATGGCTTGAAAACAAACAATATTCTTATGCACTTGGGGTAATACATGAAATATTGTTGATGCGTCCCATTGATGATCAAATGATTTTAAAATCCCTTGAAGTCATGTATGCATTTAGTTTAAATGATACTAAATAGGATGAATAATTGTGATTTTATATTTGAACATCATAACATCAAAATTTAAATTAGTGAAGAATGTTAATTCTCCTCGTAAGAGTAAAAATTTTCATCAAATGTATAAAAGGTAATACTACACAAATATGAAATTTAATTGGAACTATAGGAATGAAGATCAAATAGTACCATAATAACAACGTCAAGTCTTTATCTCACAATATGGGGTTGGCTTATATGAATCATTTTTCTCCATTGTGTTATATTAAGAGCCAAAATTTAATTTAAATCTAATTAAAATTTGTCATTTCTAATACTTTATAACCATGTTTTTTAGGTCTAATTCTACTTCTTTTAACATAGACCAGTTCTAATACATCTACTCTCCTACAAGGTCATCAAAAGGCCCATATTTTATATGACCAAATCATCTAAGGAGACTCTTTCTAATCTTATTGATGTAATCTAAAATTTGGGAGAGGGGCCCAAATTTTTTATCACAAAAGAAAGAACTTTTATAAGTAATAGAAAAGACACAAAAGGACACAAAATAGGATCAAAACAAACTTTACTTATATAAAATGAAAGACTTACAACTCTTAAAATTAAAACGACTTACAAACAAAAACACCTTACAAATACTTTACTAACTTGGACACAACAAACCTAAAGGAGCTTCATTCCAATAGAAGAAGGATACAGGTGAGGTGGCACTTGCGGAGAGACGAAGAGGTTAGAAGCCGAGAAGAAGGATGGAAAGAACTCGCAAGTCTCCCCAAGAGATAGAAGAAGAAGAAGTGGACAAAGCTCGCAAGCTTTTCCAAACAAACCCGCAGGTTATGGCTTCCAAAAATCACATTTTCTCTCTTTTAAAACAACCACAAACAACTTATATTTATAGACAATAGAGGGGGGACTAAACAGCCCCAAAACTCTTCAAATTCTTAAATAAATGAGGGAAATGAAAAAGCCAACAGTCAACTCCAGGAAACGAAGCATCAAAGCCACGGAAAAGCCCCCAAAAGGTCACGAGAAAACAGCCCAGGCGGAACCCGAAGAGGCAACCGCAAAAGCCAAGAAGGCCCGCACAGAACCGAAGCACCAAGGCACGGGAAAGGCCACCCAGCACGGAAAACCAGCAGCCAACCGGGGAAACCAAGGAGCCCAAGCAAGGAAAACCAAAGGGCCATCCACGCGAACCAAGGAGCCATCCACGGGAACCAAAGGAACAACAAATGGGAGAATGAACCTCAATTTATGAGCTAAAAAGGCTCTCTACTAGACATTAATGAGCTGATTCTAGTAGAGGACCTAGAAGCTCACCAAATTTATAATTCAAAATATTTTGACCCCCCTTTGCCTACATCAATTCTCCTCCGGTTGAAAGAATTCATCTCCTGATGAAGCTTGAGTTTGCTTTGAATCATGTCCTGAGATTTCCGAAGATTGATTGCATGGATTATTACTCATGACTCAAAAAACAAAAAAATTACATGACAATTGAGGGTTATATGAATGATTTTTGGAAATGTAAACCTGCGGATTTTGTTAGAAAAGCCTGCAAGCTTGTTCCATTCTCCTTCTCATCTCCTCTAGGAAAGACTTGCGATTTCTTTCCACCCTTCGTCTTGGCTTCTAACCTCTTTCGTCTCTCCGCAAGTACCACCTCACCTATATCCTTCTTCTAATGGATGAAAGCTTCTTTAGGTATTTGTTTTGAAGTAATGATGTAAGCAAAAATTTGGGAGAGGGACCCAAATTTTTGCTAGAAAATTAAAACCTTTCTAGATAATACAAAAGGCATAAAAAGAAGACAAATTAGACAAAACAAACTTTACTTATATAAAATAAAAGACTTACAAACTTTGGACATAAAATGACACCTTACAACTCTTACAAATAACTCAAACAAGACAAACACCTAAAGTTGCATTTCTTTGAGAAGAATGATACAGATGGGGTGGTCACTTGCGGATAGAAGAAAGAGGTTAGAAGCCAAGACGAAGTGGAGACAAGCTCGCAAGCTTTCTCAAAGAGGGAAGGAAAGAGGGAAGTTGGACAAAGCTTGCAAGCTTTTCCAAACAACAAACCCGTAGGTTTTATCTCCAAAAATCACATCATATATCATACTAAAACAGCCACAAAACAATTCTATTTATAGGCACAAAAGAAGGAATACAAACAGCCACCTAAAAGCAATATTTAAATCCATTAAAATAGGGAAATAGAAGGCCATAAGTCACCAAGAAGAAGGCCAAAAGACAGCAGGAATTCTGCAGGAAAATTGCATAGAAAACAGAGAAAAACTCTTGGAATTCCCCCCCAAACAGCCACCAAATAACAGCCTTCATTTGGTGCAGAAAACAGGGACAAAAAGGCCATGGAAACCCAAGCAAACAGCCACGGGAAAGCAGCCAGCAGGAGGCCCGAACAGCCAGCACAGCAGCCCCCATTCGGAACAGGAAACAAAGCAGCCCCCATTCGGAACAGGAAACAAGGGGCCAAGCACGGGAAAACTAGCAGCCATCCATGGGAACCAAAGGGTCAAGCCACGGGAACCAAGGAACCATCCACGGGAACCAAAGAGCCATCCACAGGAACCAAAGGGACAACAAATGGGAGAATGAACCTCAATTTATGAGCTAAAAAGGCTCTCTACTAGACATTAATGAGCTGATATCTAGTAGAGGAAAACATTTATGAGCTTGAAACAAAAGAAGAGGCTCATTAATGAGCTGATTCAAGTAGAACTTACAAAATTTTCAACTCAACTTATTTTGACCCATTCCTTGCCTACATAACTTATCTACCACTAGAGCTACTCCAACGTTTTCACGTATATACTTGTTTCACATTCTACCTCTAAGTGTAAAGCCACTCATCGGCCTAAGCATCCTCATCTATGCAACACTTAAACATAATTTTATGCTTCCAATTTAATGGCCAACATTCTGCGCTATAAAGTATTACAGGCTTCACCATCATTTTATAAAATTTTCCCTTAAGTTTGACGAGTACTTCTCCATCACACAATAGGCCTGATGCATTCCTTCACGTCAACCATCCAACTTGAATTCTACTAATAATATCCTCATCTATTTAACCATTGCTTTGAATAATAGAGCAGAGATATCTAAAACATTTGCTCTTTTTAATGACTTGATCACTCAATGGCAGAATCCCACTACATGATCTATTACAACTAAAATTACACTCCAATGTATTTGGCTTTAGAACTGTTCAAATGAGAACCTTTAGACTCTAAGGTTGACCTCCATAATTCCAAATTTTCCTCCACTCCCTCTCTAGTCTTATCAACAAGAAGAATATCATCAGCAAAAAGCATACACCCAAAAGCATGCACCAGAATACATCCTTTTGTAAATGTATAGTAAGAATATTCATGATTAAATCAAAAAATATATGAGTTTAGAGTTGATCCTTGATGTAATCCAACTGAAATAGAAAATACTTGGTCAAACCACCTTATGTTTGAACACAAGTAACAACTCTTGTATACATATTCTTAATGGCTTGAATAAAAACAAAATTAACTCATTTCTTTTTTAGAACTCTATAGAGCACTTCTCATGGATCTTTATCACATATTTTCTCTAAATCAATAAATATTATAGGTAGATCCTCCTTAATTTCTATATTCTTCTCTATCAAAAGCCTCAACAAATGTATATTTTTCATATGTAGACCTACCCGACAAGAATTCAAACTGATTTTGAGAAATATTAGTATCAAGTTGTAATATATGATACATTAACTTAATTCATCTATAATTTGCACACTCATGTGTATCACTTTATTCTTAAAAATAGGAACCAACACACTCATCCACTCATCTAGCATCTTTTTAGCTCTTAAAATGATATTAAAAAAATTAGTAAGCTAAAAAATTACTTAATCTCTTAAGCATTTCCAGGTCTCTATTGGAAACTCATTAGATCACACTATTTTTCCACACTTTATTTTTTTAAAGCCTACCCAATTTCAATTTTACTGATATGATGATCAAAACAAAATTCTCTATTTTCATTCAGGTGTTAAAATCTTTAAAGTCAATTGTTTTATCACAATTTTCATTGAAAA